TCACAAGAAAGCTCTCTAGTATTGGGAGAAAGAAATGATTTGGGATTTTGGGATGATTTTGAAGCTAAATGAGCTAGGGTATTTATAGTTGAAACTTAGGGACTAATCTTTGAAAATACCCTAAAGTGAAAAGACTAAAGTGAATTTACCCATTCCTATTTTCAACAAACATCTACCAAACTTTACCAAACTTTGAAAAACATTTTTCAAAGAAACATTTACCAAAATTTGAAAAACATTTTTCAAAGTTGGTTGTCAAACTTTGAAACTAACTTTCAACACCTTTAAATAAGTAGCCCAATTAATCCGAATTAGGGAGTGATACATTGAGTGTCATATGTTTGTGTCTGGTGGCCTTAATACTAGCCTAGCACAATGCTTCGCTGCCCTGAGCTTGAAACCAGGTATAACCTATCATATATGGAGCTGGTGGCTTGTGCAGCTCTCTTGTTTTTAAATTTGCCCTACAGAATGGATCCATGGTCTTTGCTCATATCAGATATCACCTAAAAGGTTCAAAAGATACTAAAAAGCTGAGAGAAATTTACATGTATTCTTTTATGGGGTTGTGATGACAACTGCATAGGATATTATCATCTTATCACATCTTATTATAGAGCGGATTACTGTTACAAGAATGCATTTTCTATACATTGCAGGCCTTTAATGGCATTGTTTCTTGACTGCTGTCTTATTTCACCCCAAGAACATGAAAACCACTATATATAACATCTTTGATGACATTAGTGAGACTAAATTTCCTGGTTTTAGGAAGGTAACTAGTCCTTCTAGAGCTTCAAAATGTATTTGTAATTTTTTTCCTGTGCATATTAAACATATGCTCTTATTTTCATGTTATGCGAAGGCTACCTGGCTGGAGTACACGCAGGACTAGAATGAAATTATCTTTGTACCTAGTGGATGGTACTACCAAGTCCATAATCTGGTAAATTACATTATTTTTTCTTTTTTATTCTTTCCTAAAAATCAATTTGAAGGTTATCAATATTTTAAGGGCTTGCAATTTAAAAAGGTCCCCTGAAAAAGGATAATAGACTTAGAGGAAATGACAGATAGAGGGATTGGGGAATGGAAGGGCATTGGCTAATGTGTTTGTTGGATAACGACTGAAGATATTTTTTTCATGGTGTTTCTAACTTATAAAGAGGGGTAAAATACCGTCTTGCAATATTAGGTCCCATAAAGAGGGGTAAAATGTGATCTAGGTCCCAAAGCTCCTGTGATGATGTAGTTCGCCTAAAGCTTTAGTTTCAAGCCTCGTATAGATGTTAGTAGGGTGAATGTTCGATCGAGTCGATTAAAAAAATTGAGTTATTCGAGTTGACGAGTCCTATTTTACAACTCGAACTTGATTTGAAATTTTTTTCGAGTAGAGTTAATTTTTCAAGTTTTTGTTTAAATTTAGTTGTAAATATTTATAATATTATAATATTATTTGATTCCAATTCAAGTGACTTTCTATAACTATATATAATACATATATATTTCTTCGTATTTTTTCATGTGATATACATATATTATACAAAGTCCAAGGAATCGACTCAAACTTAAAAATAAGTCCACTAATTACAAAAATTTCGAGTTATTCGAGTTGCATTTTACAACTTGATTTGAACTTGAATTTTTTTTGAGTTTAGTTGAGTTTATGAAATTGCAACTCAAAGTCAATTCGAGTCAAGTTTTTTTGAGTCGAAAAATTCAGTTTTTCGAGTCGAAAAATTCAGTTTTTCGAGTCGAGTCGAGTTTTGCTCACCCCATATTAGCTTTCTTGCATGTGATGATTGGTACACCTCTTTAACTCATAATACAAAGTTTTTTAGAACCACAACTGGTTCAATGGCTACAATCTTTCTTGGGTGGTAAATGCAGTTACTAGACTTGTTTTTTAGAAAAATAAGAATAACCCAGTACAGAATATGAAGTATGTCTTGTTCATTATTCTTTCTTTCAGTGGGATCTGTTAGTAAGTGACTACAAGGAGGCCAAGGAATACATAGAGGATATCAAAGACATTTGCAATGATTTTGAAGGGCTCTGTCAACACAATCTTGCAGCAAATACATGTATATTTTAATCTCGACATAGATGATGATAATTCACCACATGTTTAGTTACAAGTTTTTCTCCAGTTGAAATATGTTCTCTTTTCTTCTTCTAGCTGTTTTTTCATGGCCAAAATTTATGGATGGACTTATTTATTTAATTTTGGCCATGAAATTTTAACCACATGATCTAATTGTTGAAAATAGGTTAAAGCAAAGCACCGAAAGTTAGCATTAATTCCAACGAATTAAATGGTCAAAAGTAGGTGTAAATGTTGAAAAAAATGAAAGGGTACAATTATAAACTTTAGTTATTATAATTTAGGGTATTTAGAAATTAGTCCTTAAGCTTCAACTATAAATACTCTAGCTCATTTAGCTTCAAAACCATCCCAAAGCATTCTAGATTTCTTCCAATACTAGAGATAATTTAGAGAGTTTCTTGAGAGTTGTTTTCTCCTTTTTATCAAGAGAGAATTATCATTGTTTTCTTCTTGATCGATCGAGAGAAGTTGTAATTCCTATTTTCTCATAGTGAAATTCTTCTATCGTTGCCGTGGTTTTTACCCTATATTATTTAGGAGTTTTCCACGTAAAATTTGTGTCTTCTTTATTTTCATTTTTATTTTCACAAATTATCAGGTGCGATTTTGCTCTATCCGATAGCCGTCTTCCGTAACAATTGGTATCATAATCAGATTTGAGTGTGTAATATATGCTTATCGTCTTTGTGGTTGCCACCAAAAAGGTGGATCCTCTAACATAAGAAAGTAAGAAGATATTACCCATTCTTTGAAGGTTCCAGAGAACTATTCACGATAGTGAAATAGTAGGAGCTATCCGTAAAAGAAGCTATGGCAACGAAATTTGATATTGAAAAATTCAATGGGAGAAATTTCTCATTGTGGAAATTGAAGATGAAGATCATCCTGAGGAAAGACGTATAGCAACTATCAGTGAAAGGCCGGTAGATTTTTCAGATGACAACAAATGGATCGAAATGGACGGGAATGCTATGGAAAACTTTCATCTAGCATTAGCAGATGAAGTATTATCAAACACCGAGGAGAAGAAGACAGCTAAAGAGATATGGGATCATCTCACCAAATTGTACGAGGCCACATCGTTGCACAATAAAATTTTCCTTAAGAGGAAAGTGTACACTCTCCGTATGCCAGAATCTACTTCAGTGATGGAGCACTTAAACACACTGAACACTTTATTTTCTCAGTTTACATCCTTAAGATGTACAATAGGAGAACAAGAACGGGTTGAACTTCTACTTCAAAGTCTACCTGATTCGTATGATCAACTCATCATCAACTTGACAAACAGTAATGTCACTAGTCTAGTCTTCGATGACGTTGCAGCTACTGTTCTACAATAAGAAAATCGGCGCAAGAACAAGGAAGACAGACAAGTAAATCTGCAACAAGCAGAAGCGTTGACAACGATGAGAGGGAGATCAACAGAACGTGGCCAAAGTAGCAATCACAAACATGGTAGATCGAAATCGATAAGCAAAAAGAATTTAAAGTGCTACAACTGTGGAAAGAAGGGTCACTTGAAGAATGATTGTTGGAGTCTAAATAAAAACTCCAATCCACAAGGCAATACCATAAATACTTCAGATGATGGAGATGATCTATGTTGTGAAGCGTCAACCACCATGGAAGGTAGAAAGAGATATGCAAATATATGACTCATTGATTCGGGAGCAGCATATCATATGACCTCGAGAAGAGAATGGTTCCATCATTATGAACCTATCTTAGGAGGATCTATGTATAATTGCAATGATCATGCCTTAGAGATCGTTGGCGTGAGAACCATCAAATTAAAGATAATGATGGAACAATTAAAGTTGTTCGAGATGTGCGGCACGTGAAAGGCCTGAAGAAAAATTTATTATCATATGGATTGTTGGATAATAATGCAAGAAAGATTGAAACACGGAAAGCAATCATGAAGGTGTTCCGTGGAGCGCTTGTGGTGCTGAAAGGCGAAAAGATAACAGCAAACTTGTACATGCTGAAGGGAGAGACTGTGCTAGAAGCAGAAGCCTCTGTTGCCTCATGTAGTTCAGATTATGCAATGTTATGGCATCAGAAACTTGGACACGTGTCAGAAAAGGAATGAAAGTCATTGTGGAGCAAAAGCTACTTCCAGACTTAACAAAAGGTATCACTTCCTTTGTGTGAGCATTGCATAACAAGTAAGCAGCACCGATTGAAATTCAATACGTCAAATTCTAGAGGCAAAAGTGTTCTAGAATTAGTTCACTCTGACATATGGCAAGCACCAGTTACATCTTTAAGCGGAGCAAAATACTTCTCTCATTTATTGATGACTACTCTAGGAGATGTTGGGTGTACCCTATTAAGAAGAAGTAAGACGTGTTTTCAACTTTCAAAAACGTAAAAGCGCAGGTGGAACTTGATTCTAGAAATAAGATCAAGTGTTTCAGAACAGATAATGGAGGAGAATACACAAGCGAATAATTTGATGACTTTTGCAGGAAAGAATACATCAAAAGACAGTTCACAGTGGCGAACACTCCTCAACAAAATGGAGTGGCAGAACGGATGAACAGAACCTTGATAGAAAGAACAAGAGCAATGTTGAGGAATGCAGGCCTAGAAAAATCGCTCTGGGCAGAAGCAATCAATACCGTCTGTTATTTGGTGAATCGAGCTCCATCAACTGCAATAGAGCTGAAGACACCAATGGAGATGTGGACTGGTAAACCAGCTGATTATTCAAACTTCCATATATTTAGAAGTATAGTGTACGTGATGTACAACTCCCAAGAAATTTTAAAGTTGGATCCAAAATCCAGGAAATGCAAATTCTTGGGGTATGCTGACGGTGTAAAGGGGTTTCGCTTGTGGGATCCCACTACCCGCAAAGTGATCATCAGCAGGGATGTTATCTTTGTAGAAGATAAACTACAAAGAAAAGAAGACGATGATAGCGTTGAAAAGTCAGAGACTACTCAGATACATGTGGAAAAGGAGTTTGAACAAGGAGATTCTTCTGAAGCAGAACCAACACATGATGAATAAGAACTAGAGAGTTTTGAAGCTGCTCCAACAACTCGTCAATCAGATCGTGTGAGAAGATGTCCCAATTGGCACTCAGATTATGTTATAGAAGGTAATATTGCATACTGCCTTTTAACAGAGGACGGTGAGCCATCAACATACCAGGAGGTAATAAACAGCTCAGATGCTTCACTGTGGATGATGGCGATGCAAGAAGAAATTGAAGCCCTTCATAAAAATAATACATGAGACCTTGTGCCACTACCACAAGAAAGGAAGCCAATTGGTAACAAATGAGTCTTCAAAATCAAGCGAAATGGTGAAGATCAAGTGGAGAGGTATCGTGCAAGACTGATGGTCAAAGGATATGCTCAAAAAGAAGGTATTGATTTCAATGAAATCTTTTCTCCTGTGGTTCGACTAACAACAGTTCGAGTAGTCTTGGCAATGTGTGCTACATTGAACTTAAATCTAGAGCAGCTAGATGTTAAAACAACTTTTCTTCATGGAAATATTGAAGAAGAGATTTATATGCTACAACCTGAAGGTTTTGAAGAAGACGAAAAGAAGAACTTGATTTGCAGGTTGAACAAATCTTTGTATGGTCTAAAGCAGGCGCCGATGTGTTGGCATAAGAGATTTGATTCCTTCATTATGTGCCTTGGATACAACAGACTTAATGCATACCATTGTGCTTATTTCAAGAGGTATGGTGATAACGATTTTGTTATATTACTGTTGTATATGGATGACATGTTGGTTGCAGGACCCAACAAAGATCATATTGAAGAATTGAAGGCACAACTGGCTAGGGAATTTGAAATGAAGGACTTGGGATAAACAAACAAGATTCTAGGGATGCAAATACACCGAGACAGAAGTAATAGGAAGATTTGGCTTTCACAAAAGAATTACTTGAAGAAGATCTTGTCATGATTCAGCATGCAAGATTGTAAGCCAATTTCTACCCCTCTTCCTAGTAACTTCAAATTATCCTCCAGTATGAGTCCTAACAGTGAAGAAGAGAGGATAGAGATGTCTCGAGTACCGTATGCATCAGTAGTGGGAAGTTTAATGTTCGCTATGATATGCACAAGACCAGACATTGCACAAGCAGTGGGAGTGGTTAGTCAGTACATGGATAATCCAGGCAAAGAGAATTGGAATACAATAAAGAGGATCTTGAGATACATCAAAGGGACCTCTAATGTTGCATTATGTTACGGAGGATCAAACTTACTAATAAATGGGTATGTAGATTCTGACTATGCAGGGGATTTGGATAAAAGCAAATCTACTACATGATATGTGTTCAAAATTGTTGGTGGAGCTGTAAGCTGGGTTTCAAAATTGCAGTCAATTGTGGCTATATCCACAACAGAAGCAGAATATGTTGCAGCTACACAAGCCAGTAAAGAAGTAATTTGGTTGAAGATGCTATTGGAGGAGCTTGGGCACAATCAAGAGTATGTCTCTCTGTTTTGTGACAGTCAAAGCGCCTTGCATTTAGCAAGGAATCCAGCATTTCATTCAAGGACAAAGCACATACGAGTTCAGTACCATTTCATTCGTGAAAATGTGGAAGAAGGGACGATAGATATGCAGAAGATCCATACCAAAGACAACATAGCAGATTTCATGACGAAGGCAATCAATGCTGATAAATTTACCTGGTGTCGATCCTCCTGTGGCCTGTCAGAGACGTAAGAAACATGATGGTACAAGGTAGAAAGAATGGTGTGAAGATATGGTTGTTCTAATCAAATCTTCAAGTGGGAGAATGTTGAAAATAGGTGAAAGCAAAGCACCGAAAGTTAGCATTAATTCCACCGAATTAAATGGTCAAAAGTATGTGTAATTGTTGAAAAAAATGAAAGGGTAAAATTACAAACTTTAGTAATTGTAATTTAGGGTATTTACAAATTAGTCCTTAAGTTTCAACTATAAATACACTAGCTCATTTAGCTTCAAAACCATCCCAAAGCATTCTAACTTTCTTCCAATATTAGAGAGAATTTAGAGAGTTTATTGAGAGTTGTTTTCTCCTTTTTATCAAGAGAGAATTATCATTGTTTTCTCCTTGATCGATTGAGAGAAGTTGTAATTCCTATTTTCTCATAGTGAAATTCTTCTGCAGTTGCCCGTGGTTTTTACCCTATATTATTTAGGAGTTTTCCGCGTAAAATTTGTGTCTTCTTTATTTTTATTTTTATTTTCTCAAATTATCAATTGCGATTTTGTACTATCCGATAGCCGTCTTCCGCAACACTAATCCCTTGTTATTCAACGATTTTCCGATGTAGAAGGGGCAAGAGAAGAATTTTACAGACCTTATACATTTTTTTTGGATAGTATCATTCAGTTGATTCTGCAACTTACTAGAACTCTTCCTATCACATGTGTTTTTGCAATATACTTTCTATTACAAATGCTCCAATGCTATTTCTACTTGGACAGTGGTAATTGATATTCCAAAGTTGACGTTCTTATCATAGCTTGATAAAATTTGTTCTCTTTCCACAGGAATGAATTTTAATGATTTCTTCATCTTCATATCACGCTTTTCACTGGCCAATGCGGTGGAGCTGTATTATCTACATGGTGAATCAAACTCTGAAAGTTCAATCTGGCATTGCTCTGCTACAGTAAAGCATTTTGCTCTGAACCTTGCATCGATAAGGAAAATAGCATTGAAGATGAAATCTGAAGGCGTGGAAGGAAATCTGGGCATCATAAATTTGTGGGAAACTCTAAGTGATCCTAAGTTTCTTAAACTATGCACTGGTCTAGGCAGAATATATTCGGCTGTCCCTGAGGAAGAGGACTGGAGCTGTACCGAGAAGAAAGTTCTGATGGCTGATTTTGAGAAGTACGGATTTCAAGTTTGTAGTCCGGAAGATCTCGTTACATTTATAGACGATGCCGTTTCAAAACTTAGTAGCAATTGCAATGAACAAAACACTCCTGTCAGCATTATACGAAATCCAGCCACATCAGAGAAATTAGCATTCTTCTCTGTTATCCCCCCCTCCCCTATATCCACGTGTGAATTCGACTCGAATGTAGACAAGAGGCAGATGGAAGCATTCAAGAAAAGCTTGTGGAATGGAAGTGTATGCATTACGGCAGGAAACTTGACCTATATAAGTTTGTTGTATTACCTAGAATCAAAACCGACGCATTTCGTTAATATATATATTTAAGGGTTCTTTCTTTGGCACTTTTCTTGAGCTCCCAAACATCTAAATGTGTGTAAACTGATGAAATTTCTGCTGTTATTTACTGTGAATGAGAATTTTAGATTTTAGCAGCAAACAAGAAAAGACAGACATCACTTGCTAGTATTATTAACAGTTTGTATTTTCCCTCCAAAATTTACATGTATATAGTTCCCAGATGGTAGGGCAAATCAACCTTCCAGGTGGCCAAAAATATACATTGATTGATAGAGAGAAAAATATTTCTAAGAATCAACCTGGGATGAAAACTAAATACCCAAAGGGGTAAAAAAGGACAAAAATAAAAATAAAGGGTTCAAAGTTGAAACAGTCAAGGACATCTTACATTCCTTCCTGGACCTCCATAGTAAAAGTATGTTCCCCAAACATTGTTTCTTCCATGTCTGATGTCGTAACAATTTGAATGATCAGCCAACAGTCGAAGGTTTTTAAACGGAACCAAATTATTATCCCAATCAACGGTCTGCAAGTTCCTGAAATAAGCTGCTTTCCCGAAGCCTTCTCGGGCAAATCGGCCACTGCCCATTTGCGTTGATGTGTGAAATCCTGAGGATCTGGTGTTCACAACTTCTCCTCCGAATTGTACCATGTTTGCATGGCTTCTCAAGTGACTGAAAAGCAATGCAGGCCAGTATCCCACCAGTAATCCTGATCCAAATTCTAACCACCAATGTCCATGTTTTGGATCCTACAAAAAAAAAACTGCGTTAAATGTTGAATGTTGTATGACGATTCTGTTTAAGCCGATATCGAACTCACCTTCCAGACCATTAAGCCAATATCGAACTGCCTGCCATTGAAGGAGGACTTTGGGGATATGGCTGCTCCAATAGCAATCTTGTTGTTGATTTGGACAAATCCTGAGCAAAGCAAGTTGTAGCATCCTGTGGTGTGGTAAGCATCATTCTGTAAATTAAAAGTTAATTAGCAGTTGATTCACTTTTCTTGGTTTTAAATCTTGCTTTCGGATTTGCTAGATATTATACTCACTGTCCAGTATATGAAGAACCTTGGGCGATTATCTCCATATAGGTCAGGGCTAACCTGAAGAAACGTGAATATGGAAATCTTATCATAAGCATAAAGAAACTTCTCAATGAACAACTTCTGAATATTTTTGTACCGAAAGTTTAGGGACATGCCTGCCAACCAGCTTCAATGGTATTAAGATCATTGCCAAAAGAACCAGAGATGATCCATATCTGTGACAAGCTAAACTCGTACGCATTTGTCACGCGAGGCGCCCATACATTTATTTTTGCTTTTGCTCCATAATACTGATCTCCATTCTCAAACACAACTGCATGCTGCAATGAGAAAATATTTTTTTCTGATACCAATCTCATTGTCAAGACCAACTGCCAGTTTTACTCATATTTTGTGTCTTGAATTTTAAAAAAGTAGACAAGTTTTTAGGTATCAAAGGTCGAAGGTACTAACCTCATGGCCGCTGCTCGTGGAGTCTCTCCGCACATGTCTTCTTCTTCCATATCTTCTAACAGAACTTGCTCTCAGAATGTCTTTCTCAGTTGTCCTTCTGATTGGAACAGTCCCTTTGGGACAGGATTCACCTGTGTCTGTCCAAAGCTGGAAGCTTTCAGAGCCTGCTTCTGTAGAGTTATGACCTTTTGGCCTCGCCGGTGGATCCTGTCAGAACGAAGCTTCCATTAGTTTTTGTTTCATGCTCACCCACCCTAATGACTAAACCATATTGTCTTGAAACTCAATGCATCCATTAAACAAGAAGAAATTTTTAAATTTTTACCAATGGCTTCTTCCCTCTAAGCTCAGGGTGATCAAATGCAGGTTGAAGGAGAGATGGAACACAATCTATGACATCACCATCTGGACTCTGCAGCAACAAACGAAGAGACCAAAATCATATAATCATCAAGCCCACCAATCAAAGACTAGCTGAAAGTTTCAAAGAAGATGCCTGAATGGTCTTCACAGCTGGCTTGTTAATCTTCTTGAGATAAGCGTCGACTCTCCTTAGCTTTTGACTGTCTTTATCCGGGTTAAAAGTATGGTTCACCATTTTCCGGTGGTCGGAATCCGGTAAAGACAGGAAAGAGCCGAGAGAGGAAGAAACAACGAGGAAAGCAACAAAAATGGGAATCATTGAAAAACTAGTATTGTGGAAAACAAAAGTAGTCATACAGTGGCAAGTATTTGTGCTGCTTGGTTTTGATAGCAAGGATTCAGTTTGTATGCATTGGGTGTTGTCTTGTTGTGTTCACAACACAAGAACCACACTCTTCTCAGGCCTCACTTCACTTCCATTTCCATTGTTCAACATATAAACAAACCCAAGAGGTTCTAAGAAAGTGCTTTTGGATTTTGAGATACAGTACACACCAAGAAACTTGAAGGACCACCACCACCTCTTAGTCTTAATCATAGTTGGTCCTGTACTTTTGAATATGTAGAGGAACATTTTAACATTTTTTGTGTGTGTGTGGGGCATTTGTGTTAGTTGAAAGATACTGCCGTAAAACAGAAAAATTACTAGTATTGACTTGTAAATAAGATTATTGTGTGGTGTCGAGTAAATTATTATTTTAAAATCAATTTCATATGTATTTGTACAATCTTGAAAGTAAATGTTATCCCAAAATTAACACAATATTCTAAGTTTTATATAAAATTCATTGACCACACTAGGTTAAGCTTAATGGCGTATGAAGTAGGTAGTTGGGTGATCTGATGATGCACTTAATGAATGGTAGTGGTAGTATCCTGACCTGGTATTTGCGGGCAACAACAAATTTCCTAGTCGAGAATTGCACACAATATCTGCTCTTTGGACCCCAAATACTCAAAACTATGGAATGAAGAGGGAAAGAATCATTGATACCTATATTAATTTAGAAAATAAGGTCTGAGTTACTAAAGGTGAGAAAATACAAAATTTTAAGAATACAACAACATTAAATATTGTGAGAAGTGGTGGGTGGAAAAAGACATGTTCTTCTGGACCTCTGGTTAGCTTTTTTGGTTGGGATGCTTGCCACTTCCAACTCCATTTTTTTTTCTTTTGAGGAATGGCAACTTAATAGTTCCCACCAACCTGTGCAAAGAATTAAAGCTAGCTGTTGAGGAATATTGGGCCACTGCAACACTAGTCACCCTCATTTTTTTTTTGAGTAAACTAGTCACCCTAAATTTAAAGCATTGCCATATGGGGATTAGGATTAAAAGGCTGCCAATCCCATGCATACAAGTCACCCTCAATTCCATGGGGATTAAGAATAAAAGGCTGCCAATCCCATGCATGTATTTTCCCTTTTGGTTTCTTTATGCTAACATGTTGGTGTGTGTAATAATAATTCATGCGGGTGAATTACAGGTTGGACCACTATAAGTTTTTGTGTTGGGGGGTAATAAAACAATGCTACCAAAAACAATGATGAAGCCTAATTACTAGGGCAGTGATTAGGTTTGCATTGCAGATGCCATGTAATGTGCGATTGCCAAGTTAAATACAGCCAACTGTATACTTCTAACCTCGTACAACTCATTACTTGGTTACTCTAAACAAAGTTATATATATATATATATATATATATATATAACCTTATCAGCTTTCTTCCTCCTATACCTTCTTTCTTTCTTTATAATTTATATTAATTTTATTGATTAATTTAATTTTTTTTAATTTTGTTTAACAATGATGATGTTGATTTTGGTTGTCGTTCACCAGTTATTTTTTTTATTTTTAAAATAAAAATAAATATATTTTTGTGATATGTTCTCTATCTTTATAATATATTTTATTTGTATTTGTGACACGTTTTTTTTTTACTTTTGGTAGTTTACGATTTTTTATCGTTATTTTCATTTTTATTTTTTATTTGGATTTGACATTGTCATGACTGATCAAGATATAATTATTTGTTATCATGATGATCTTCCATGTTTTGGACTCTAGGATTGATTTGGATACATGTTTTGCGTTCGTGGATATTTTTTTCACGTCGCTTGACTCTGATTTGTGATTTGTTGGTGGCCTTAAGTAGTTTCATCCCCTTTTATGGTTCATTTGTCGATGCAGTCAGATTTGTTTGTATATTTATTTTGTTTGAGCTTTTTGGTTGGTTTTTTTACCTTTTCCTTATTGGTATTTATGTGATCTAGGTAGCTACTTTTGTGTCAATGGTTATAGGAAAATATCCTAATTATAATCTTGTTTACGTTTACATTATACTTGTAAATCTTCATTTTAATTTTGAATATTTTATATTTTTAATAAAACTAGTTGATTTCTATAAAGTATATATAGTTATATATAGTTATATAATTTTTTTTTAAAAATAAAATAGAATTAATTGAGTCATCTTAGTGATTAAATGAAATATTATTTTCTTAGATATCTCATATTCAAACATTTCCGTCAGTGTTATCAAGAGGTTGAAAAATTCTAAATAGATATTAACCTAATCACCCTGAATTATTAGAAAAATAATATATATATATATATATATATATATAGTTTTTAGATGAAGATATCATCACTACCACATGATGTAATCTTGTGGTGCTGCACGAATCTAACGATCTTAGCGTCAATATCAAACTAGTTGTCGGAAAAAAAACATATGTATCAAATTAGTAGGAAAAGAAAATCTAAGTACCAAATTATAAGAAAATGATAAGTACAAAGGTTTTATACGTATTTATACCTCATGTACAAATTACTATGAAGTAAAGGGTGAATATAAAGGATAAATGTACAAGTAGTATAAGAAAATGGTGTTTCAACTTTCTTTAATACTTTAAACACCAAATGACAATCCAGTAAAGTCCAAAAGATCGATGGTGATGCATGCCTGCCTACCACAATCAAAATAAATTTATATCTAAATTAAATTTAAAATTTTCAATTCCTGAAATCCCAATAAACAAAGTATTGTTCCATCATCTTTGCGGAAAGCAAAGCTGCAAATTGATGAACTTTTTCTAAAAGCATGGCCCTTTAATCTTGAATCACACAATCCACATAACTGAAATGGGATTTTGACATGAAACTTTAGTATAATTTTTCTAAAATTTATATTTTTAACTCTCTGAAAAAAAAATATCAAGTTAAAACAAAAATTTCCGACTTTACTCCTGTTGTTGGGTTGGGCATGCTTATAGAGTTGATAATTTTAACCATCTTTGTTGTGGATCCAAAAGCACAAGACCAGACGAACTAGATGATTTGGGCTCAGCAATCAACACACAGCAATACCAGAGGGACCTGGACTCCAGCGAGTAGAGGTAGGCTGCAAGTTGAGTTAAGCCCCTCTTTTAGTCTGCAAGTGACCCGAGACAACAATTCGGGTGTCACCATGGTCCTATTTGCTACTTTTGAAGATATAAATGGAAGATAAAGAATAAAGCAAGTTTCATTTTGAAGCTGTTTTGGGAGAAGGAGAGGATAGGAGCTGAAGATATCATACTGTCTAAAGGTGAGTCTCCTCCTCCTCCTCCTCCTCCACTTATCTGTTTTAGTTTTAATTTATTCTTAAAATTTTGAATGCACTTTGGGATTTTGTTTCCCTGAAGATTTTTTTGTTCAAAATAGCAAACCAAAATCAATAAAAGCAATAGGTTACGGATTGAATTCGACTTGTGTTTTTAATTTCTTTAAAAGAACGAGGAATTTAATTTATCCATATAGAAATTGGTCTGCTTTGGAGTTTTTAGCTTCAACCTACGTTTGGATGCTGAGAAAATAGAGGGAAGGTAATGCCAATATCTGCTGATAAGCTGAAAATAACACAAATTTTCAGTCCAGCTTTTTTTTCTCCCGAGAACAAAGTTAAATGAATAGATTTCTCTTTCACTTTCGGAAACTCAACTGAGCTCCCATTTTTCTTGGCATTCTCGTCCGACTTTTGTGTAAATATCTGCTGTTTGTTCTGTACTGTAAATCTTCACTCAATATATTTGATTGCTACAATTAGGACAAGGTGAATTTGGTTCCTGTAATATTTCTTACTATGGCTGGTATTGTTCTATCTGGGAGTCTGGGTTTAGCAGGGTCCCTTTTTTGTTCTTGTTGGGATTTTTCATATCATTGTTTTGTAAGAGTTTCTTGCTTACGTATAGTTGAAAACTTCTAATCTCTTTTGGTGCCATGTTCATTTCGTTTCATTTCTTTAGGCCTTGTTGAATAAATGTTCAGGCGCTTGAGGTGAAAGTTGCAACTATGGTGTTGGTGACCCATCAATTGCAGGTATTCTAAGAAAACTTTTGAGCAATAGTGTTAGACTAGGAGTATATTAATTGGGACTTTGATGTAAAGTTCTTTAGAAACCAAGAGTTTGATGGGCACCTTGCACCCAGGACAGTTAGGTCCATCTAAGTGCTGTTTGTTGAATCCTATTAGATGTAAAATTACGTTCCGGAAGCTTCTGTTTGTATTGGTTGGAGAACCTTTGTTTATCGAGGAAGTCTCATTTGATCTCATGTACAAATATAGTGAGCTCAGCTTTCTTTTGGTATTTATCTGAATGCAAAGTATGCTGCCCATTTTAGGGTTCATATGTGGTCTTCTTTCAAGGCCATTTTTATTGTATTACAGGGTTCATATGTAGCATTCGTACAAGGCCTTTATCATGTAGGAAAGGATTGACATTAAGGAGACCTGTAGCTACTCTTCGTATGCTTGGGAGAAGGGAGAGGGGCATATCAGTAAGGCACTCCACTTGTTTATGGTAAGTAACATTTCCCTCGTGATTAAGCAACGAACTCCGTGCTGGTAGCTTGTCCCTTAATATAATGGTTGGTTTGATTAATTTGCATGGTGTATGTGGAAGTGGTGATCTGAAAGGACTAGGACTACGCTTTTAATTTAGCATATTGATTTTATCTCTCTAAGAAAGATCCAAAATGTTTATTCTTACCACGTTTTTCCTTTCCCCAATTTTACCATTTCTTTTAAATAGAAATTTAGAAGTGAAGTTACAAGTTAGTAAAAGAAGGCAGGGGATCAACATAATACAAGCGAGTGTGTGTGAAGAAAATAGGCTATGAGTTATCTCTGAACTAGAATTAAATTGAGGCCTTTTCTTTTTTCTATCTTTTTGCAAGAAAAAGAAGTGAAGGAACAAGTTAACAAAAGAAGTGGTGAATTAAGTATGTTGAAAATGCAGCATAGTAATTACATCTACACTTGGTGCATAAAATTTCAATGAGAAGTTTGTGTGATGTGGTGTGAGGTTGTAAATGAAAAGTTGTTTACTTGTGATTACTGGGTGTTAACGGTGTCAAACATTTCCTGATTGGTGCATTGATGCTATCTCTAACTCTATAATAAATACAGGTCTATCCAAACCATATATTTTTGTTTTTCATGTGTTCTTTCTTCTTGGATGTGCAGTTCTTGCCTCAGAATTCTTAGTTGTTTTCATTTACTCGTGTGGATGACAAGAACTCTTTTGCATGGCATGAAAATAGTAGTAGGCGCAGTGGGTGCCATTCTACTATTCTAAATTAATATTTTTTCTTGTAAAACCAAATTAATTTGTTCTCATCTAACATGCTTCTGCATTCATTGTTCCGGTGGAAAAGGGATGAAGTGATCTCTTTTCTACTTTTTACAATTATTTTTCTTGTGTTGTATTTCGCATTCCTATTTTCCATTCATTTTCTTCATATACTTCATTTTTCATTGTATGCATCTGGAGCATTTAAATTCTGACAGGCTTATTTTTGCAGTATAGGGGCTCAGTCTCGCGGATGGAATGCCAATAATATGAGGATTTCAGCTTTCAAAGGCAGTGTCCAGAGTGATGAATCGGGAGCCAGAGAAAACGAAGGGAATGCTTCAAAGAGTTCTATTAAAGTTTCTTATCCTCCAAAAGATGGTGAAGGGGCCAGGATAGAATCTTCCAAGGCTCATAATGGTCCAGTTGCCTGTGCCTCGGAAACTGGTGAGAACGTTGTGGGATCCCCTGCTATTCAGAAATTATTCAAGAAATGGATAATGATGCTGCGATCACATTCCCCAAGTCAAGTGGTGGATGATGCTTTGGGAGAAGAAGCACCTCCTACGGATGCATCAGAAACTCAAATTGGCACCCAAAGTAATGGGAAAAGCGAGATTCTAAAGATGGTTTGGTGTTATTTCTGGGATTTGAACGCAACAATCAAAATACCCTTGTTAATATTGTAAGTATGATTAACGTGTTATCTCTTTCTGCTCCCTCCCTGGAATTATTTTCTAGCGGCTTGCATGATTTATTACTGTGTGGCATTATGTTGTGATATCAAACGGCTGTGTGTCTACTGTAAAGAGCAAAAAGTGACAACCATAAAGCTCTCGTCTTGATTTATAAGGACTTCTGGTGTACGTCTGATAAACCGTTTCAAAGTTAACTGGTTCTGATTTTGTTCTTTGTCAATCATACCTACATACATCACTAACAGATGCTCTGCCACATGTGCAGTGTTCCGTGGTACCTCGGTGTCAATTTGATATACGGGGCTGAAGTTTCGGAGGACTTGACTCCTCTATGGGTGTTTGGGCCCCTGATCGTTGCCCTTTACATCAAGATGCTCAGAGGCTTGTGTGCGTTTTATGTTTTCAGCTTCAAGCAGACAGTTCAGATAATTAAGAACCTACCTACCTACTACCTCCTGGCTTACAATTATATTGCACGTGGAAAGCTGAAGGAAGATGTACGAGCTCACTTGTGGCAACCCGTGGAAGACATGAAGAACATGGACTACAAAGAGATATGGAGGAATAAGGTGAAAGATTTTCAAGAGTGGTTGACGGAGAAGTACCTGGACTATGTGGAATCCATATGGCCATATTACTGCAGAACCATCAGGTTCCTAAAGAGGGCTAATCTCATTTAGGTTTATAGTTCTTTTGATCCGAGCGAAGTGTCAGGCGAGGTATTAACGCTGAGGGTTTAGAGTTTGAAATTGATTGCAAGGCTGAAAATTTTGGAACAAAGGTAGCAGAGTGCAAACCCCATATTTTTGGAGTTCAAAGAAAGATGATTCAAACCGAGTGCTCACGCACAAACCCCGTCTGTAAGTACTGGAAGATTTGTTTATGCCTTTTGCGATGCCACTTTGATGGTCCATTCATTCCTAGTAACGAATATCTTCGATAACGAAATATAATACTGTGAAGGTAGTTTTTTTTTTCTTCGATAAGGAAGGGTGGTGGTGGTGGTGGTGGTTTGATAATGAAAGAGAAACTAAGGGTATGTATTCGATTGCATCAGATTAATTTTTTTTTTAATTTTTGAATTAGATGAACTGACAAGTCATATTTTTTGATTCAGATTTTATTTTAAAAAAATGGAGTCATGATCTATATTTTTTTTGCTTAATAGTATCCCAGATGTTGGGCGACATGCTTCTTAGAAGCAAAGGTACTAATCAAAATTGCAACCGTTGACAGATGAACAATAGTATACAGCCAGTCAACGTTTATGTAGAAGATGGGTAAACAAACTGTTCAATTTAACAAGGGGAGAAGTTAAGATTACAGGCGTTGCAGTAAAACATGTCGGCATCCAGAACATACATATATGTACATATATATCTTCAACTCGATGCTTGACATGAAAAATCTAGGATACATGATTCTTTCACACACAAACAGACCCCCATGTTGCTAAGGCCATTCCAACTCTGGAGCTATAAACACACCGGACCACAGATGTTAAAACTGCCATTGATCGGTCTGCTTCCCCCGTGTCCACGTGCCACCTGGAGGTAGCTAATATACAGAATGGTATATTACAAACAGGTCAAAATTACCTATAATATGTAAACCAGCACCTGAAGTGATTATTTGTCACCCCCTTACTAACAAAGGCGCTGTCATAGCAACTATGACCAAACTCGGGCTTTCTGCGCTCTCTCCTGCTCCTTGGGAACGGACATATCTCTTTCCCCTAAGCATCTTTTGTATGGCACAAACCCCTTACTACTCTTTTGGGGGTTCATTTTTCCCTCTGGAGAAAGATTTTGGCACTGAGAATCAACAGAATCTGAATTCTTCTCCCTATTTTCTGTTTGACTAACCGAGCCAGTATTTGAACCCGTGGAAGATCTTTCATTCAGAGTTTCCTTTTCTTTCGTACTCTCTTCGACACAAGAGTCTTTACGGGTTTGATTAAATGAAGTAACGTAATAAAAGGGTAGACCTTGGTAAAGAGCCAACCATGGCACAGGAGCATTACCGGTGTATTCTACATGGTCTTTTTTATCTGGGTGGATTTCAGTACAAGGGGATAAACTAGATTTGGAAGGTACCATTCTCCAATTATCGATGACTGTCCCGTTTGACAGATGCAAGTCCAAACATGTCGATGGTAATGCCTGAACAAGTCTCTCACTGTCTACATCATTTCCCTCTACACTGCTCTTAGATGTGTAAGGTTTACCAGAACATTTCACCTCAACTGTTTTCCCAAAAAGCTTAATACTAGTGAAAGGCACATCTACTGTGTCTGCACTTCCTTTGGCACAAACAGGTTCCTCGAAATTTGTATTAGATTTCTGGGTAATTACATGAAGATGAAAGATCAGATTCTAAATTCTGGACAAAGGTCAGTAATAGTTGTTTGATATAATGAAGAAGGGCAGAAATTTTACCAAAGATAAAATGTTCTCCTCAGTTGAATGTCCTGAAACTTTAACAGATGATAAAGATTCATTCTCTTTCTCTGTAGATGTCACATAGTCATTTTCTTTTTCAACAGGGGATGTATTGAGTGACTGTATATTAGTAGTAGTACAAGATGTTGGGGAAGAGCATCTATTTGGTTGCTCCGAGGCAGAAGACCCCATTGCATCGAAAACAAATGCAGACAGAACTGATGAGGGCGACTTGTTATCCTGTTCTGAAACAAAGTGATTGGGGGATGGAGACCTCTCTGGTTGAGATGATGGAGATATTCCTTTGAGCAAAACAACAGATTTACGTGGATATGGACGCATTGGCTTCCTTTTTGGACGAGGAGGTGGTATCTCAATTGGTTTAGTGGAACTCTCAAAGCCATCATTGGATTCACGAGCAACCTAGAACCACAATCGCAAAAGTATGAGATGCAAGTTACAAAAACCTATCTAAAAATGTCTACACATAGCATGTTCAAAAAAGATACAATCATTTTTCAATCAAGAAAATCTTGCAGTGAACTTAAACCTTAGAGAAAAACTTTTGAGCATGACTTCGAATTTGAACAGCAGTTTTCGTGCCTACATGCTCTGCATAAAAACAAGTGTAACTTGATCTGCTCACGGCATAACTGGAAAAGGAATGAATTTGATAATCTCCACTGTGCACTTACCTTCTATTTGGCGCCAGCCACGACCATACAAACTTAAAGCTTCAAGAAACTTTTGATGCTCTTCCTCTGTCCATTTTTCCCTTTGCTTGGTTATAGAATAGGGCTTCCGGACCTATTTTACAGGAAAATTTGAGCATAGCAAGAAAAGATTAACAATTACTCATCGGGGACTGTTAAATAGAAAGGAAAGTAAAGTTAGGCAACACGAAGAAATGGAACCTTGGGTGTTTGGTCATGCTTAAATGAGTAAAGCACCTGCAGTTGGGTCAATGATTCAGACTGTTGGTTGCCAACGGAACAGCATATACCGGATTTAAGAGCATTAGGCGATATTCTGCCTTCAATTTGATCCTATATAAAATTTGCAACAGCATTTTAACAATTAGAAAACGCTCTTCACAATATGGATTATTATATAAGAATTTTTCCATTCTAAAAACAAACCTAACGACACCAAACTACTACTAATCCTTCCCATTAAAGCAGATTCAGGACCGCACATACTTTAGCACATTAGAACATACGACTTGGAATAACCAAAATTAAGATAATACGAAAGAAGAAGCATGCAATTTCATAAATTGCAGTAATCCATAAAAGGAGCATTTTTCAAGGTCCAGCAAATATAGCAATAACAATTAAATAAATAGCAGCATTTGACTCAAATTATGCGTAGTACACACTGAAAATTGGCAGCTTACATTATAACTTCTTCTTTTTATATCTAAACTTTAAAATGAATAAAGTACAATGCAAAACAACAATCCAAGTATAATCATACAAATATAGAACTGCATGTACCTCAGTAGGCATCGGGAGCAACGGATTTTTGCTTCAAATCTTACGGAGCCTAGAATACTCCTGCAACTTCACCTAAACCAAAATCACCCTCAGTATATCTGTATATTTCTTGTATACACATAATTTAATTATCAGAACAAATTCAACAATCAGATAAGACTTTTTCTTTCCGATTAAAAAATTACTAAAAACTCCTCTCTCTGGTATGAAGAGTGAGTCCCATAAGAAGGAAACATTATGAAATGAAAAAAAGTAATATAATCCATGAACAAAGCAGATCGGGCACAAACTTACCAGTCACAACGATAAATCTTGAAAACAGAGTGATCAAGGAACCAAAGGAAAAATTGGATGATAATTGTTAAAAAATAGCAGAAAATTGAAAGAGTCGTACTGCACTGATAATTTGCTGAAGAAGCAATTGTTTCGAGAAATTAAAAAAGAATACAAACAGAAGATGAAGCAAGAAGAATCGAAATTAGATTTGGACGTTGAATCAAGGAACGAAGGGGAAGGGAAGAAGAAGACGGAAGGTATTTTGAAAATAGTGAAGATACATATAATCATGTTTATAAAAAAGCGAAGGGAAGGACGCCACGTCAGATTCAATTCGGATTATTTTATTTAATTCTCCAAGGAAAACTCGAGAAGGGCTTGGAGTCTTGCCGCTGAGAACGCTCCAGTCCTTCGCCACGCGTCGTCTTTCGACATTTGCACTTTCTTTTATTTCAAAGATTTTTCTTCTCCTTTTTTTTGTGTGGAAGATATTGGACCGTGGATGGATAATTGACGAGTGTTGCCTATTTCAGATATTTTTCAACTTTTTACTCCCACGCGCGCTTCGTTTCACTCCTCTGACGTTTCGTCTCTTTTCCACTAGTGAGGGAGCGTGGTTTGCATTTTCTCCGAAAATAGGTGGAGAGTGATATAAAACAATTAAAAAAGGAAAAAATTTATATTAGGGACAGAAAGACGGCTGGCCCTACTGCCGGGGGTGGGTACAGCTGCTCGTGACATAAAGGCCTCAGTGGTGGGGACTACCACACCTCTTCTGCGCTTTTCTGCCATATCAGCCCGTCAACGCCACGCGTACCAACCACAGCCAAACGTCCATGTAAATTTTTTATTTTTAATATGCTTGTAATATTTCATTCATTTGTTTTTACTTCTCCCTCTTCTTTTATTAGAAAGTCGCGTCTCAACTTTTTTTGGTAAAAGAATAAGGTTAGGCACATTCGATCCTAGAAAATAATTAATTACACCCAATTCCTTAAACTATTTAGGCTTTTGAAATTTAATCCTTTACTTTTGTATTCAATAATCTAATTATTCAGCCTCGTTTGAAAATCAAAGTCTATTTTTTTAAATAAATTTTCATTAACATTTTTATATTCTAATATTTTGTTTAAAAATTAAAGCCCACTCGATAACATTCATTTATATTTAACAAAAGTAAAATTGTAGTGTTGCTCTCACAACATCCTAAAGATTGTAAATTCAAGCGTGTGTTGAGATCGTAATAGTATCTGGGGTTTAGAAGGAATATTGTAAAGGATCAAACTTTAAAAATTGAAAGAGAAGGGGGGCGAAAACAAAATAGACGTATAAAAGTGTTGAAGGGCCGTAGATTGGTTGAGCGGCGATGAGCACTAACGGTAGCGTGACACACCATGTGGTGAAGCAGTGGTATCAGTGTTGCGAGTATCAGCCTCTCGTTTGTTGAATTGTTTTTTATTTTATTTTGTATTCCCCACCGTGGAGTGAGGTGGGCCTGGCTCTCGTTTATTTTATCGTATTTCTCTTTGGGTGGATAATTCTGAATGTCTTCTACTCTCGTCATTTACGTTCACAAAAATCCCCTCCTGTACTCACCGTTTACTTTGAATTCTAGGATCAAAGGGTTGAATTTTAATATTATAAATCCACTATAATCAAGAAATTATTTAATATCAAATATTTTCATACCTATTATTTTTGAGTAAAAAGTAAATGGTGTGAGCACATCCACTGGATATGCAAGTGTAGAGCCAAGATTGCGGACAGGGTCTTGTATATTAATATTGTTATACTAAAAGAAGATAAATATAAAATTTCATTAATTTATTTCAATCTAAAACAAAAACAATTTCGTAGGATTCATAACCTTCCCCCCCCCCTGATTGTATGACCTTTTACTAACAAAATAAAATAATAGGAAAAATTGAGAGCCACAAGTTGTGTGGCAGAGGTATTTGAAATATACGATTATTTATTTTTCTTAGATCGGTATTAACAAAGAGGGTTTTAGATTTTTAAATTAGATTTCTTTAAGACGGTCTCTCTGTGTGTGTGCTGTTTTTCTTTTTCTTTTGTCATGAAATATATAAAACTTCATAGCTGGGTCGGTATATCTAACCTCTGGTGAAATTTCCGGATCCTTTAATGCAAATCAGTTCCTAAAATTTGGTATCATCATCGGTTTTGGGTGAATACTAAACTTTTGTAAGATGGTGATGAATGACCCCACATTGCTCGTATATTTGTTTTCTAAAGGCTTAAACCACTACTGATTCTTTAAATTATATGATTATAAACTCTGAATCGGATATGGTGGCTGTCTAATCACCCCCTCCCTCTCGGCTTAAATCAAATCCCGATTGCAGCACGTGATTCCATTTCCGTTTCGCCCGACTACCCGGTGCTTTGCCACGTGATTCCATTGCCCAAGTACCCAACCTTTGGCTTTCTTTATCCTTTTGTTTTTCTTTTCTTTTCTTTTCTCCACCACTCATTTCCCACTTGCTTTGCCGTTGGGTCGTACCTCTGCCAAACTTACACAAATAAAAATTGTATTTATTATTTTTTAAAATATAAAATAAGCAGACATATATAAATAATTATATTTTCAAGTTAACTTTTCTTATAGTATATATGAATATTAAATAATTCAAAAAATGGGCAGAACACAAATCCTTTTCTGCAATGTAGGCTTGAAGCCATGTTACAGCATACTTATGAAATCCACCAACCTTTTACCCGTTCCTCGTACCATTTTGATACAAAGAAACATCAGTCAACTATCTTTTATCAGGCTTCACCTCATTAATGCCATCGTGGCTCAACTGTAGAATCTTATTCCACGGGGGATCCACCGGAGGCAATTGATATTCGTCAGGTTTCAGTGCCAACGGAAAATCCGGTAAACTAGGAGCCGTCCCCATGATTCTGAATAACATTACCAATGCCGAGGTTATCTTGATTAACCAAAAGAATCCACTACCAATTTTGGAAATAGAAACCATGCACTTACTTTTCATGAGAGTAGAGGTCTCGGTTTATCCGGACCTTGCTAGAAGTGTCTTTCGGAATTTTCTCGGATAGATACTTCATCGTCCCCCAAAGAGGTGGATTTCTGTACCAATCAAGAATCTCTAGCTTGTAACCACATTGCTAAACAAAACCAAGTCCACACAGAGAACGCATGCAAATGAAATCGTGATGGTAAGAAGATAATAGTTTGTCACCATCTAAATTACCTGGACAAAGGATGAGCCGCATTAAATACTTCACAAGCCCTCTTACTTTCTTCAAAATATTTATCGGCAGCTTGCAGAGCGGCTACAGCCATACCATGGGATTTCTCTGTGTTTCCCTCATCAAGGATCAAACCATGATAATAATATGCTGCAGCCTGCATTTGTATAAATCAATAACCTTGTGGTAGAGCGCAAGGTTCTTAACCTTGTGGTCGTGGGATCGAGTCCCACGGAGGGCATTTCATAATTCGAAGGTCTCCCACGAAAGCTGCTCTCAACCTGGCGTTGGGAGCAGCCTACTATCCTACCTCCCCCTTACCCCATTACATATGGGAATAAGGGTCAGCTAATTTTTAATAAACAGATATAATAACTACTACTGTTAGCTGATAAATGCAACTTCAAGATAGCCATCACTGCCATCTCCATACGCTTGTGGTAAATGAAACCATGCTCGCTGCACTAATCTTAACAAGTCAGTTTAGGACAAGAAGGTTGGCTCAAATCTAAAAGGAGTTCCAAATAAAAAAAAAAGAATTATATAGTCCAATTCGCCCTTAATTAGCTAATATTATCATACACACCCAACAGCAATACATACTGTAACATCAAACAGTTCTAGGCACCATGTCTAACAACGTGTCATGCACTAATAGTAAAAGGCTAATAGTTACCTATATGTTTGGTCAGACTCGGGTGCAGTGTATTTGAATACGATCCAATTGTTCAACATGAAATTTGTTAACGCAGCTATAGTTATCCGACAAGAGAATAAGAGTTCAGAAATCATCATCCCTATCATTGAGAGTGTTATGATTTGATTTCTACGAAAACTATATCAGTTGTGTGACTGTTTATACAAACTAAAACATGATATTAGCTTTTTTGAGTCTCGAGGGGGGGGGGAAAGAAAAACGTGGTTCAGTTGTCATTTTTCATGATCATCTATAAAAAATGGCATTATAAAACTTTTTCTTTCCTTCTTCCCGCTTGTGTAATTATTATTTTTCCAGGATGGAATCATAAAACTGAATTTATACGCTATTGGTATTACTATGGCCCAGGCCGACTTTAGAGAGTCCAGACACAAATCTCAAACACAAGCCATTGTCAAGGCATTTTGACACAGGTATGCCATAAGAAAAATGCCATATAGAGTTGATCCAAATTCTACCAATACAGATGCCGCACTTACCACTAGGTTTCAACTTTCAACTACTAGTAAATATAGCACATATCTTGATTGATATTTGCTACATTCAGTATATACTGTTATTTGCTTCTTCAAAAATGCTACCGCAATCTCATATTTAAATTCAAGAATGCACGAACGAGAATAACCACATATGACATAACCATGCTTTTGTCCTCAAACCTAAAAAAGAAAAGAGAGGAACGAAACAAAGGATATGATATACCTTGGCTTCAACATATTTCCACTTTACAAAAAGTCGATGCTTTTCACCCCATCCATTTGATAATGGAAGATTCATAATGTTATCTTGAGCCTGTTAAAACAGGGAAATAAATATAAATATATGTTTGAAGATCGGGAACTACAATTTCATTCAGCAAATGGATGATAAATTACAAGATGAATGATTTATAAAACACTTAAGTGAAGATAGAACACAAACCATAATATCAATAGCACAGTAAGTTTTAAGAAACTCTGTTATCAGATTATGAGAAAATTGTCATAAAAAATGCCAGTAAGTGCTGAAAGTTGCGAACTTGCTGAAAGGTTATCAGGGCACCATTAATCTCATTCTTACTACATTTACAATAGTGAATCACCAATTTAACACATGGCTGACACAAAAACTGAACAATTATATATGCAAATAAAATGAACAGGAAATTTTGATAAAAAATAGTAGTATAATTGAAACGAAGACATTGATGCAGTAGGCTGGTCAGAGTTCGAAAAACAATGAAACATAAAGTGCATTGATACCTGCTGCCAGTATTTTACCATCTCACATGCAAGCCTTCGCTTCACAGCAAGGGTAGCCTTGATGCTATCAATTGCCATTCCAAGCTGGATTTCAACACCCTACAACAGAAACATAATATATAATGTAAAAAAACCTAAACCATGAGGGGATAAAATAAAGCCTGCACAATGCCTGTTCCAATTTGTTTTGTGTCACACACATAAAAAGAAAGAAAAGTGCACATGACCAACACTTGATCCCTCTACTAATTTATTCTTTACCATCACGCTTCATTACACTGCATTTTTAATGAGCGGCAATACATATACAGTGACATTCAGAGGAGCAACCTAACAGTCCTTCCATCAATCCAGAGATGAAGTTAGTACCTGCCCTAATGCTTGCAAACAAAGTGCTCGAAGAACACCTTCTGCTAGGTCTACCGGTAAATTTCTCCTACAAGAAAAGCGGACATCAGTAGATTATTACAAGATCTGGAAGCGAGAAAGTCATTGTGAAGATACCAAAGAAAGTTGACAGCCGGTATTTCATCTTTATATACCTTAGTTCAGATGGTAGCTGAGGAAGAACCTGCCTGACAGCACAATCCAGGTATCCAGCTGCCTTCAAGAAAATATCAATAGAAGCTCGTCTCCTTTCTGTTTATTGAGAGAATTGAAGTCACCAGGCACATGAAAATAGAGGTTAAAGCCAATATCAGAATGAAAATCTAAAGTGAGTTGAAAGGATCAACATATTTTCTGCTAATAAGCATTTTAAACTTTTAAAACCAAGTGGGAAAAAGAGGGGACAAAAAACAAAAGAAATAGCATCCAGAAAGAACAATCAGCAATTGAGTTTTCCATTTTTCCCTTCATAACTACTTACCTTCTGATACTTTTGGTTGATGACTATCAGAAGTTCTTGGAAGAAGCAGTAAGTTGGCTTGTGATAATGATAACACTGCCATCAGATGCAATAATGACAACACTTCATACCAAGCATTAAACATGGCTGTTTCCTGCTCCCCCCCCCCCAAACAACCAAAAAAAATTGATTTACTCAAAATATGTATTCCTGAAAAAGTAGGACCAAATAAAGCACCAAACACTAGGAAAAGGCTAGTTGATATTTATAGCTTACACCCCCGAGTCATACCTCAGCATCATCTTCCTGATTAACCCAAATAAACTGTACTTTGAATTGTAGCTGGCTCCCTGACCAGAAAAATGAATCATACTGTTACAACTTGACTTATACTACACTAAACATTTTAAAGAACATAGCATTAACAACATATTTTACCATCTGAAACTAATCCCAGAAGGACAGGCAAATAATCTTCAAGAACTTGAAGAAGATCTGCCAATGCCGAACCCCCTGCATACTATTTTCAACCAAAATATCAGTAAAAGTGCTTACTAGATACCATTTTCAAGGAAACCAGGTTTGGATGTAACAAAACCATGCTGTGTAGAAGCTTTCCTTCTTGTTCTTGTAATTGTAGGTGCTTCTTGCCCAGCCATAACAACTATTCGAGTTCTCAATGCATTAAGGCGCTCCACTAATGTCTTTGACAAGTGACGACCGAGTGGTTGAGAGAAATCAATAGGTTTGGGAGTTCGTAAACCCGGGACATACACAGAAACGTCCCCAATATTTGTTGGCCTCCGCCTATTTCCCCCAGAATCCTTTGGTTTTGAAACCATACATCCCATATCTTGAGAGTTTCTGTATCTGCCAATCTTGGCATAAAATGTCAAACTCTCCAGTAAAGTGACCTATATTCTAGCATGAAAGAAGAGAACCCTAAAGCATGTATCCAATATAAGCCCATTGATGATAAAGCAAACGGAAAAATGGGGAAGGAACAGATAACATGTATTGCAATAGAAGCTAATGAGAGTATGTAATTTGCAAGCCATGGAGAGTACAACTCATTAATTGTCCAACCATCAAAGCAGAACAAGTAGGCAATTCACGAGCTCCATCAAAGGACTCCAACTAGAACTCTCCAAAATATATTTTAATCATTTTAAATGGAAAAATAAAATACAATGATCGGCTTACTCACCTTGTCTCCCGGATCAGAAGAAGATGATCAGATGAGTCAAAACTCTAGTAGCTTCTGCATCCGACAAATGTAAAAAACTTAAAATTACTCCTTTAAATGAAGGAGGGAGAATGAGTACAGAGAACAAACCAATAAAGCTAACGAATCACGAGAAAGTCATGAAACTTGACAATTGTCATTAAAAAGTAGTCAAGTAGGTGATAGACTTTTTCATTCTAAGAAAATTTAAGATGCTTTTATGGATTTCGCATGCGAAATTCAAAAGAACAATGTGAAACTGAAGAATTATGAATTCAACTCACAAGCAGCATCGATAATCATATCCATAACAAGAGACCATTTTAATTATATTTGAATTTACTGAAAAGGATTGCGGATCAACGTAGCATCCCCGAAATTTGGGAAAAAAAGCAGAAAATCAATGATCGAAGAGAACTGAAAGCTATAGGTTCAGCAATCTAGAAGGTTGAAGAAAGTTCTGGACAAGGATACATATATAAATAATAATAATTAATAACCTGGTTCTCCCACCATGGGTTTAAGTAGAGAGTCAAAGTCCAATGTCCAAACCCTAGCAGTAGCAGTACATGCTTATTATGATGAGTTTGGGTAAGGAATTCTCAAGCGATTGCGAGGTAACGGTGATGGGAACTGAAGAGAGAGAAGGGGGGGGGGGTTTGAGAGTTGAGACTGTAAGTGAAGGTTAAGTTCGCGGCTTCTAATTGGGTTATTTTTTTTAATTTAAATGTTTGAATTAATTATTATATAATAGACGGTAAAAAATGTTTCATAAACGAAATAATTATTATACTATAAATTTAAATCGAAGTTAATTTAAATTTAAATACTCATGATTCAAACCCACGATGTTTAAAATATTACTATAATATAAAAAAAATAGTTTTCTCTAAAAAAAACTTAGTTTCTGCCGCTCATTTTTTTATTAATTAATTGTTACATTAATTTTAGTGTTAGTTACCTATCATCTGTATTTTTTATTATCTTTTTCTTTTTTATATCGTATATTTATTTTCTTTTTTTATTCTCAATAAGTCTTTATTTGTTGTATATTTTCATATGCATTTATGATATATTTTCTTTTGTCTTTTTGCATGTTTTTCGGTTCTTTGGTTGTATTTTCATTTATTTTACGGGTTGATTTGACATCGCTATGACTGATCAAGATGTCACTTATTTGATATCTTGTGTCTTCCCTGCTTTGGACCTTCGAATTAGATTTGGATATCCGCTTTGTGTTCGTTGATAGTTTTTCACGTCGCTCGAGTTTGATTTACGGTTTGTAGGTGATCTTTCAATAGTTTAATCTCCTTTTGTGATTCGTTTATCGATACGATTATATCTATTTATATCTATCTTTGTTCGAGTTTCTTGGTTAATTTTTTTTTTCTGGTGCTTATGTGATCTTAAGTTGTTAGTTTTGTTTCAATGATTATAGAAAAATTTTCTAATTATATGTTTAATTTACTTTTGTAATTGTAATTTTTTATTATAATTTGAGATATTTTTTATTATAATTTGAGATATTTTAATTGCTTCTTTCAAAAAAATATTACTATAATATATTAATAGTACCGATTAAGATTGGATCAATGAAAATTAAATTATTTTGAGATATTTTTTGAGTTTCAATAATTTCAAAAAGGATGAATCATTTTAATATTTCATATTCAAATTAATTTGCGTGTTTAAAAATATTCATATATTAATTATCGATTGCCGGTTATTATTTAATATACAATTTAATTATCATATCTCTTTGCTTTAATCTATTTTTTTACTCACAGGCCAGGCCACAAGTAGGGATGGCAAACAGGCGAGTCGGATGCGGATACCCCCTCCCCATCCCCATACCCACCTAATATTTTTCAATCCACCACCCGCCCACCACCCATGATGGGTACAAATTTTCAAATCCACACCCGCCCACGCGGGTACATTTTCAAATCCATCCCCACACCCACAACCCACTGGTGACGTACCCGTCTAGACCTGCCTGAAAGCAAACTTAAGTTATATATAAGCAACAAACATAAAAAAACATGTCCATTAAGAAACATAATAAAATAATCCAAGGATTATTTTAGTTAAGTGTTAATATAGATCTTAAAGTACATAAAACACCATAATAAAAGACATAATTAAAGTTTAGAAACATAAATGACAAACACATAATATTTTTGTTCTTTGACACAACATTCTAAAATTTCAAGCAATGCTTATGACATCTGATACTCGAGTATTACAATCATCATTCTCTATTTCCTTCAATTGAGAGCGCTCCAATTTAAATTCACTACTACCTACATATATAATAGAAAGTGGACGAGCGGGTAGATATTTAACTGGGCGGGCTGATGTGGGGCGGATGCGGGACGGGTAATGTCTTAAACCCATTACCCGCCCACTACCCGCGACGGGTATCACTTTCTAAATCCACACCCGCCCACTACCCGCTAAAATTATACCCATCCCCGCCCCAATTGGAGCGGGTGCGGTGCAGAATCCGCGAAACTGTATCCGTTTGCCATCCCTAGCCACAAGTGGGCAAGTGGTTTGTGCATTTTGGCAGTGACGCAACATAAAAAGTACATTTTAGCAAGGACTAAACCACCAGCTAGAAACGCAACATCCTCTAATATACTTATTTCTCGGTACACGTTCTTGCATCGTGTAAACAAACCTTGATTGCAAATATGTAAGTTCGACCTATTTAACTGACTGCAATAGAAGCGGGGAGCAAGCAACTGTTGCTCAATCACTATCTCAAACTCCGATTTGTGTTGAAATCTTTCAAATATTGCATAAACGGATATGTATCAACTTTGAAACCTATCACAACTTCAAGTACCACAAGTTTTTATGTCTGAACTCCTCTAGGACATGGCACTATCAGGCCTGAGTGTAAACTTGGTCTAGGCGATTTGACCCACCCTCAACTGTGTAAGCGTGTCTATGTTTTTCCTAAACTAATTTATAAAACCTAGCAACCCAAGGTGCGAGTTGAGTGTTACTCGGGGTTCTCGGATTTACGGCATAATAATCAGACCAATAGCAAGGCATAACTTTGGCAGCAAATTCCCCATCCGAATAAATGCAAAATGGCAACCAAGTCTCACCTCCATTCATCCTTCTTTTCCTCTCTCTTGGGTATGCCAACGGTGCCTGTACATATCTGCAAAAATGATTTCCCATATTCAAATCAAAACTTTGGTAATATTTAAATCCTCAATTGCAACTTACAGCTCACCTACATGCTACAGAAGGACGAAAGATACAAATGAAATTGACTAATAACCATAACTAATAGCAAATAAGAGAGACAACTTTCCTGAAAATGGTTATAATGCCCAACAATCATTATTTTAACAGCTTCCCCATTTGAAAACTGAAATCCTCAACAAACTCTAAAAAGAATTTTAATGTCAATTAGTGTTCCCCAAGGTTAACACAGAAGCTTCTAGAATCGTACACCAGGCAAAGGAAGAACTCAAAATAGAACAGCTATTTTCTGAAGGTGGAGAACAGCCAAACTTGGAGAAGAGAGAGAGAGAGAGAATAAGAGAGAAATCAGATGATTGTGGTGTGAAAAAAAATGTGAGATATACATCTTTTCATTACCAAAAAATAGGATAAAATATGAAACCATCCAGTTCAAAATAGGAATGCAGCCAGTAACTTAAACAAAACTAGTCTTAGTATACCATTCCTAACCACAGAAATTGTATTTAATAGAAAATTTTCAAGAAGAAACAATAATCTGGTGAAAAATGTGACTACATTAATACCTGATACCATCCACTATAGCATCCCAGCAGAAATGTGTGTGGCCAAACACATGACATGCAAAGGAACTACTTTCAACCCCGTGTATAGACCTTATACGATCCTCAAGCCAATCAGAGCCAATGACTTTTGGGAGGTTTGGATAGAACAACATTCTTTTCTCGGGACACAGCTCTTGCCTGCATAAGAATATCACAAGAAACAGTTACACCTCACTCAATGTATTTGTCGAACCAACAATACAAAAGCCTATTGCTCACACAGTTTCCACCATTCTAATCATCTTTGCAAACTTCACTCATTTTTTTATGCTGACATTTATATACTGCACTTGTGGGGCCATTTTCGCCTTCACATCTACCTACCTATTTGACAAAAGTATTCTATACTGCTTTAAATTGTCATAAACTTCATCCCATTTCTCTCACAATACAATGTTTATGAACCTGATAAGGAAACTATCCTTTTCTAGCCACCATTAGTGCATTACAAAATACGAAACAAATTAAGAATTTAAATAAGCGTGTAACTAACCTAGGAACAAAGTGAGAAAATGTAATTATTTGGCTACAAGTCCTCTGGATCTGCTTCACTGTAAGCTGGTTTTTTTCGTTCATCGTATCAAAGTATAAAGAAAGAGAGGTGTCCCTGTTTGAAAGGTTGCCAGGCCACTTGCATGCGTGATAATCTTTACATGCCTATGTATATTAAAAACACATCTAAGAACATCTCATACCCCACCAGATGAAAATCAGAAAACACTAGATAACAAAAAACATAAAATGAAGAAAGAAATAACCAAGGAAAGAGAAGGTAAAAAATGAAACAAGCAATTTTCCAAACCATTAACACAACAAGTAACTAGTAGATGGAAGATGATGGAAAGCAAGAAATGGAGATTAACACAACAAAACTTGTCATAAAATACCATTGACCAGAATAAGTACAAAATCAATCTACATTGGGCTAGAGAATATAAACAAAATCAGCTATGCATAACGTGCTAGATGTCTTTGTCAAATGGAATGAAGAGTAAGAGCTAAGGACACAAGAATCCCATGATACCACACAATTAAAAACCTATCGTCTGTAATAATTAACAGCAGTCATCAATATCATTTATCAATCAATTGATCTTTATTAAATAGCATTGGCCATACCAAGTCATTCACCTACATACGTAAAAAACAATCTACAATATGCTATAGACTATAAATAAAAATCAGCTATGCAGAATGTGCATCTTCCTCAAATAGAATGAATAGTAAGGATCAAGGACAGAATAAACCCACTATACTATACCATTAACAATATATTGACTGTAATAATAAACAGCATTGATCAATATCAGTGAGAGATGACACTTCAAAGCTTTTTAATGAAAGTGAATCACCATATCCAAAGATGGAATTCGAACACCAATAATGTCATCCTCTCTATCAAAGCTCTGCAGTTGAAGAGAAATGCAGAACAAACAGGATTACTATTAGACTATATTTCAAAAGGGATAACTTTCAAATAATCAAGCAAACAAGGACTAAAAGAATTTACAAAAAACTATTTGTGAAGTAATCACCTCATGGTACCAAGAAAATAAAGGAATAATACCCAAACCATCTATAACAACCGGATTGGTTTCAACTCCAAGTTGTTTACATGCATCAAGCAATTTGTTCAGCTTCTCAAGTGAATCAAGCTGGAAAGGAAAATCACAACTGTAAGGGAAATATTATATAACCAGCAAAGAAGCACAATGCAACAAAAACAATCATGGGGGCACTATAAACATAGAACAATGAAATTGGAAAAATAACATTATATCACACAAATCATCAAATTAATAATGAAATCTTTATAATTTAATCAGAAATAGGAAACACTATAACATGACAAAACTGCAAGTTGCTTCCAAAATGGCAAGAGACATGCCTCAAAACTCATTAGGTGATAAAATTGCACATTCTAATAGGCAAACACTGGATAAGAAACTAAAGGAGGAGATGAGATTGTTGAACTATAATGTAAAATTGCATATGCAATTGCAAATGTAAAATACACATAACCATATCCATAAATGCATCTATATATAGGCATGCTAACTTCAATTTCTTTCGTAATATGTACATGTCTTTCTTACATCTTCTGCCTCCCAACGACACCAAAGATCATGGTTTCCAGGTACAAAAAAGACATGTTCAAACCTTTCCTTCAAGAGAGACATGGTCAAAACGAAGTTATCATAGGTCTCTGCTACATCACCAGCAACAAGAAGAACATCTTGGTCATGCCTCTTTGTAGACAAATTCCTCACCCATGCCATATTCTCGGGATAGTCTGTATGCAAGTCCGAGAGCACAAAAACCCGTAGGCCAAAACCATCTTTCTTTGCAGCAGATACTACCTGAGGCCTTTTAATGCAATCCCTCTTTATGCATCTCATATACTTTTTGGATGTTATCTTCTCACATAAAGAGTATGAAGATAAGCTCAAACATGAGGCCATGAGTGTTGTTCAGTCTCAGGGATTGCTTTGATTTACCAATAATCCAGCTGATGATCGACAAGCAGGTAAGCACAAAGCATTAGCTTATTTATTGCCTTACAAAGGTTGAGCATCTATCCATAATCAAATACAAACTCCACCAACCAAATTAACTAACTCGTAGATTGGCTAAAATCAAAACATGCCTATGAGTGCCAAAGAATTACTAAAAATTTCTGAGTAACTGATTTTTTTTCTGACAACATTAAGCAGAGACAAAACACGCGTACTATAATTGACATCCTATATAACTAAACCTTGCAATTGTTCGGTTATTACTTCACATTTCAGCACTTTCTAAAGGGGGGGAAACATGTACACAAAACGCAGCTCAGCTCAACCCAACCGTGGAAGCAGTTGACCTTTGCAAACATTTTAAAAGAAGTAAACTGGAGCTCATATATGGATTTTGTTTCCAACGGAAGCTAAATGAAAAAGTCCTCTTCAGATAATCGTTATTTTGGAACTACTCTTTTAAAGACTTTATTCATAAATCTGGAGGATTTTACACATTTTCTTCGAATTAGAGGTGCAAAATCTGAGACTAAACCCCGCATATAATCCGAGGGAATGTTTGCAGGTAGAATCATAATGGGCATTGAATTGAAAAGAAAAATTGCTTACCTGCTTTCCCTCCCAAGACTGCTCCTCTCTGATCCAAACGAAGAAATGAAGGAACTCGGAGGATGAGTAGAGTCTTGTGGAGCGGTTTTCTGACATGAACCGTCCGATCTGGTGTTTCCGTTATTCATCGCTGGATCCAAATATTATGTTTGTTAATTTTTTTTTTGAAAAATATGTTTGTTAAATTGGATATGAGACAAATAGGCACGATCCGGTTAGTTTATTTATTTATTTATTAATATGTTGATTTGATTTCTATTTTAATAATAATAAAGGAGATCGCAACGTTGTGGTAATTACAGAAGTATTAAACTACTCAGTTATACAATGAAGCTATGGGAAATGGTGATAGAGGTTAGGTTGAGACATGTTACTAGGGTTTCGGAAAACTAATTTGACTTTATGCCAGACAGATCTACTACGGAGGCGATTCATTTACTTCGACGGCTTATGGATAAATATAGGAGAAAAAATAGAGATCTTCACATGACGTTCATTGACCTTGAGAAGGCGTATGATAGCGTACCCGCAATACGATTTGGAAGACATTGGAAACGAGACGAATCCCAACTACTTATATCTGGGCGATTAGTGATATGCACTGTAGATCTACTACATACGTCAAGACTACACTTTGCGACACCAAGGCATTCCTGGTGGAAATCGGACTCCACCAGGGGTCGGCTCTTAGCCCTTACATCTTCGCCTTGATTATGGACGACATCTATTGTGCGACACCAGACGGTGTTCCATGGTGTATGCTTTTCACTGATGACATTGTCCTAGTTGTTGAAACAAAAATTGAGTTGAATAGTAGACTGACTACCTGGAAGATTGCTTTGGAAGAAAAAGGTCTAAGTATCAATATTGAAAAGACAGAGTATTTATGTTCAAACTTCAGTGGGAACCAAAAAGATGAAGATGTAGAAGTATGCATCGAAGGACACGTTCTCCCCTCAAAAGATTGTTTCAAGTACCTAGGGTCTATGATACATAATGATGGGGGTGTAGATGATGACGTTACACACCATATAAAGACAAGATGGCTAAAATGAAGGGCTGCTACTAGAGTTTTGTGTGACAAGAAGGTGCCTTTAAAACTTAAGGGAAAATTTTATAAAATGACAATAAGACCAGCGCTGCTGTATGGATCAGAATGTTGGGCAATCAAGAAGGACCACGTAAGGAGGATGGAGGCCGTAGAAATGAGAATGCTTCGATGGGCATGTGGTAGGACTCTGTGGGACATGACACCAAACTCTGCAATTAGAATGTCATTGGGGGTGGTGCCTGTATCCGAAAAATTGAGGGAGGGAAGACTACGGTGGTTTGAGCATGTCCTTAGGCGACAACCGTCAGATGCGGTCAGGAGGGTAGAGTCGATTACAGTCGACGGTGCCAGAAGGAGATGACGACCAAGGAGGAAGTGGGTAGACTGCTTGAGATCTGATTTGAAGGATTTAGCCCTTACCGAAGATATGACCTCTAACAGGAAAGTATGGAGACTTAAGACCAGGGTAGCCGAGTAGTGTGGGTCACAACCATAGGGTGTAGCATCTATGTCTTCTTTTTAATGCCTTTGTAGTAATTTTCATGACTTCTACTTTTTATACGTTTCTGTCATTGGAATTTAAGAAGGCTTAGAACTAGGGTAGCGGAGTAGTGTTGCCTTAGTTTAAGTTTTAACCCATTTGACTTTGTTCCTTCTCGTACCTTACTATCGATGACTACTGTGTATAATTCTCTTCATATTTCCTCTTTTTAAATTTAGTCGGGACTTAAGTTTCTGTCTATATGCATGCAAAGATTTTTACGCAGGGATTTATTTTCAGAGATTACTTCCCATTACAGACGTGCATATGAAGACTGTTCAACTATGTATTTATTTATTTATTTATTTATTTATTTATTTATTTATTTATTTATTTATTTATACATGCATTGTATTTTATCTTTATTTTTAATTTTCTGACTGCCGGAGGTCTTCCACGGAAGCTGCTCTCAACCTGGCGTTGGAGGCAGCCTACTACCCTACCTCCCCTTACCACATTGCATATGGGAATAGAGTTTTGTTGTTGTTAATATTATCTCAAAACCTAAAATTCTCAAATTCTTAAATTTCAATCCCTAAAATACCAAATACCCAATCTCTTAAATTCATTTGATCGATTGTGATAATCAACTGTGGAAACAAACCCCTTAACCATTTGATCGGTTTACTGTTTGAATTTTGGCCTTTTGGCCATAAAAATTAAAATGATGAAATAAGAGGGGAAGGGAAGCACACGTTTTTTAATAATATTTTTATTTTTTAAAAAAATAAATATTTCAAAATTCTATATTTGTAACACGTGTCATTTAACCGGGGTTTTAACGTCCGTTAACATTGAAGCACTTAAAATAATAATGTTTATAACGTCAGACACCATAATGTGAAAGTAGCCATTAGCCAAGACTTGTTGTACACATGGTGTTGAGTTAATCGATCGATGGAATCGGCCAAGAGGGGGTGAATTGGCAATAAAAATTTTGGTGGAAGTTTTTGCAGAAAATTGAAAGTAATTGCACAGCGATTTACAGTGGTTCGACTTTATCAATCAAAGTCTACGTCCACTACCTTAGCTATCCACACTAAGGATTTTCCAACAAATTCACTAATTTGTTCTTTCTTTTGAGGCCAAAGAGATAACCTTACAACTCCCTCAAGAATATACCCCAATTCTTGAGAACACTCTTTTCTCAAAGAGAAGATTACAAATTTGCAAACTTACAAGAAAAAACCTCACAAGGCAAATATGTTTGCACAATTCTAGAACAAAGAAAGAACACTCAACAATAAATACAATTGAGCACAATAAGTTTTCTTGAAAGCAAAATGAATATTGAATGAAAAATAGGCTTGAAATGCTCAAACTTGAGGTTTGATGCTTTCTCTTTGATTCTCTCTTGATTCTAGTTGCTTGATGTTTCTTGTTTTGATCAATGGCTTCTAAGCTAGTTTAAATACACCTTGAATCACTTCTGAACGTTGGGGATGATTAGTGGAGTCAATAGAGCCGTTATTGTGTGAAAACAATTAATAAAACTGGTTGGGAGCGTCGGTGCATCGATGCATGACCATAGTGCATCGGTGCATCATTGTAAAATTCAAATATTTTAACCGTTGGAACACTTAGTGCATCGGTGCACCAAGTGTGCATCGATGCATAAAATGCATTCGATGTTTGAAAATAGCCAGAGTGCATCAGTGCATTGCTTGTGCATCGATGCATGAAATGCATTCGAGGTTTTAATAAAACCCAAGTGCATCGATGCATAGAGAGTGCATCGATGCATGAAATGCATTCGATGTTCAATTTATTCAATGGTGCATCGATGCATGGATTGATGCATCGATGCATGCCTTTGAAAAATTGATTTAAGGCTTGACTTTGGTTCAAAATACTTTGTGAAAATTGTTTCAAAAATAGTTTAAGTACAAATCACAATTTTACACATTTAGTAAGGATTAAAATTGATCTTGAAAGACTTGGAGTAATAATTTGATATCTGATTAATTAATTCGAATATACCTTAGAAAATCATTTATTAAATCTTAAAATTCATTTAACTTAATTTGTTATATCGAAATATCAAAATGTTTTCAACAATCTCCCTCTTTTTGATATAACAAAACACTTGAGTAATTTTAAGATTTTATTTGAAAACTATTTTGAAAATCAAGCTTGAAATTACTCCCCCTTACTATAACATTTCTCCCCCTTTAAAACATTTTACACTTCTCCCCCTTTTTGTTAAATCAAAAAGACTCTAAAATAACTTTACACAAGGTTTTGAAAAACTTAGCCAATTTATATTTAGAAAATTAAAGATTAAGCTGCTAAGATCAAAGATCAAAAGAGAGATTAGCCATTAGTTTCATAATAAATATTCATAATAAAACGTGAAATGACATAATTGGTCATAATACAACTAATATGTAAATGATGCAAGAATTAAACCAAACCAAATATATATAATAAGTTCAAACAACCAATCATTCAACTCCAAAAACAGTAAAATGTTTAATCAATCCAAGTTTTAAGTTTAATCTCAAATACAATCAAACTAAAATAAGTCTAATCATCCATGGAAGTATTGGGAGGCGGAGGAGGAAATCGGGCTTGCATCTCAAGAGAGAGAGCATCCATGCGTGCAAGCAGCTCCCTTTGAAACTCCATCTGATGAGCTTCCAAAGTGTATAAGCGTTGATTTACTGCTTCGTGAGTAGCATTCAAGTGGGATTCAATGGAAGAATACCGTAAATCAAATGTCTCTAAAAATGAACAAAAAAATGGAGGCATTTGATCTTC